CTCCAAAGTAGGGATTCGAACTCACAACCTATTGATTGGAAGCGAAGGATGTTCACCATTTGAGAAACTCACTTAGCAATGGAGGCTTGGGGAAAAAATCTTACTAATGTAACAAGTTTAGGGGAGACAAGAACGAAGAAAAGTTGGTAAGAGAAGAGGGAGTGAGAAGAGAGAGGACTATTCCTCCTCGTTTACCTAATTTGTCAAAACTTTTTGTTTTATGTCTTCTTCTTATTTCATTTCCAAAATTTCTTCCATTTTTTTTTAATTTGTGAAGATTAAGGATCAAACAATCGTGGCTATTTCAAGGGAATAGGCAACTGAAAAAACTCTTCTTCTTTTTTTGGGTCAAATATCTATAATTAATTTGGTTATGTTTCCTTTACTAAAGTAAATTTGGAGTCACCTATGAAGAGTTGGTGAACCTCCAAATGCGTTTTCATATAATAATATTTTTCATCGGAAAAGGTCCAAATACCCCCCTGAACTTTACGATAAGGTCTACAAATAACCCTCGTTAAAAATTTGACACATTACCCACCTTGCCGTTACACTCTTGGCTCGGATACCTCCTTAATTCTAAACGGCTGCCAGAGTGGATAAGTTATCCACTCATAATTTGACATGTAAAATTTTAATTTACACCCAAATATTTTAATTCACACCCAACCGGATCTAATTAACCTACCTATTACCCGTAACCCGACCCGTAAATTGGAAACCTCTTTCTAAAAAATACCCGAATTTTTACTTCACTTATCAACTAGGGATAGCTCTTCTTCTCAATCTCAACAAAGATCTTTGATGAAGCGGTAGATTTGAGTCACAAGAATCAGCAATGGAAATGGTAGATTTGAGTCACAAGATGAAAATGAAACGGTGAAAGGGAGTCATGGGCTTGGCGGCGGTGGTGTTAGTAGGCTTTGTGGGTGGCCCTCAAATCGGATTGTTCGAGTTTCTCGTGCATCAGGAGGGAAAGATAGGCACAGTAAAGTGTGGACTTCAAAAGGACTCCGAGATCGGAGAGTTAGGTTGTCTGTTAACACAGCTATACAGTTCTACGATTTGCAAGATCGACTTGGTTATGATCAACCAAACAAAGATGTTGAATGGTTGTTAAAAGCAACAGCTCCTTCAATCTCTGAGCTTCCTTCTCTTAATGTTTTTCCAGACACATAACAAATGAGTGAGGATAAAAGGTCTAGTGCTGGAACTGATGAAATGGACGGTGATTCGAATTACCAATAGCAACATGTGTCTTTGTCGAAAAAGAAAGTTGCATTGGTGATTATCTGGTGAAGGAAACGAACATGTGACCGATGAACTCGAAGATCTTTGTTGAGATTGAGAAGAAGAGCTATCCCTAGTTGATAAGTGAAGTAAAAATTCGGGTATTTTTAAGAAAGGGGTTTCCAATTTACGGGTTGGGTGACGGGTAATGGGTAGGTTAATTAGATCCGGTTGGGTGTAAATTAAAATTTCACATGTCAAATTATGAGTGGATAACTTATCCACTATGGCAGTCGTTTAGAATTAAGGGGGTATCCGAGCCAAGAGTGTAACGGCAAGGTGGATAATGGGCCAAACATTTAACGAGGGTTATTTGTAAACATTATCGTAAAGCTCAGGGAGGTATTTGGACCTTTTCCGATTTTTCGTTGATCATGAGACAATAGTGCTTAACTAAGGGCATGTTTGGTACGAAGGAAAACATTTTCCGGAAAATATTTTCCAATTTTTCCATGTTTGGTTGGCTTAAATATTTTGGAAAACATTTTCCTTATCAACTCATTTTCCTTCAATTGAAGGAAAATGTTTTCCTTATCAAGAGAAGAGAAAATATTTTCCAAAATTTCTTCTCAACCTTCCCCACCCTTACCAACCCCCCTCCAAAAATAGTTTTTTTTTTCAAATTTCAGTTTTTCCGTTACCACCCACCCTACTACCTCTCCAACCCTACCCCCGAAAAAAAAATATTTTTTTTTACCTTAATTTTTTTTTTTTTTTNGCTCAGAAGGTTGTTGGTTTGAAAGTTTATGGTTTCATGTTTATTATAGGGAAAATGCATAAGTACCCCTCTGACCTATACCCGTATTCCCAACTACACACTTTTTCTTTGCGGGAATCCTATTACCCCTCTAAACTTATTTTAAATGGAATTATTTGCACCTTTAACGCTGACGTGACAGAGTGTATGTATTTCACTCTCCCAAAGGATAGTGAAAAGCAAGAAAAAATGATTTTCGGATTATTTTTTATTCTTTTTTACCATTTTTTCTTACTTTTTTTTCCTTTTCCTTTTCCTTTTTCTTTGTCTTTTTTCTTTTACTTTTTTTTTCATTTCTTCTCTAATTCCGGCGGATATTCATTCACGGACGACTTTGTCTAACCGTTCTTCTTCCATTTTTTCTTTTCACACACAAATTAAACTCTCAAAAAGATCTATTCATAAGCAAAGTAAAATACACTCAGATTGGGGCATTTGCATCTATACCTGATTTTTGTGTCACATTTTAACTTGTGCCCGCTTTGCAAAAAAAATTTCAAACGTACCCACTTTTTCGCATAACTTCAGCACACGGGGCTGAAGTAGCAAAGGCAATCACGCAAAACTTCAGCATTCTAGTAACCGGGCCTGAAGTTCAGTCTAGAGCTGAAGTTTTTGTCTTGTAACTGAGAAACTGTAACTAGAAACTTCAGCTCTAGAGCTTTTATGTTGTAATTGGGAAACTCTAGAGCTGAAGTTCTTGTCTTTGTAACAGGGAAATCCCACTATCAAGATGTAATCAGATTTCCTGCTGTTGTTGTTGGCTTTCAGTGCAGAGTCGATATTTTGCAACGCTCCTAATACGAAGTTTGCTAATGGTCCTGGTACGACTTCATTACCTGCTGAAATGTACGTAAATTTGACAGTTGAAGCATGTGGAATTACGCTGTTTTGTACCCAATTTGTAGCAAAAGTTGGATCACTAGCAAGTGATTGCAGGTCTTCGTTTCGGATACCAAGAATTACAGAAATATCAGATCCTTGTAATGCCGTTAAGACATCTTGATTGGGATCGAAAATTCGTATTTTTGGACGTTTCTTGACTTCAAAAGATTGATCACTTGAGCTGGTGGTGGTAGATTATTTCCTGTTCATATACAGAGACAATTGTAGCATCGATCTGATTGTAGAAGAAGAAAAAAGAAAATAAAGGAGGAGAAGGGGAAGAGAAAGGGAGCTGAAATTGTTTAAAAAGTGGGTATAAGTTAAAAGTTTAAAGAAATGGGTATAGGTTAAATGGGGGCGACCAAATAGGGCCTCCGTGCAAGTTTTACATCAGATTTGGGGAAAAAAATCCATCATATAAAACAAAACACACTTAAATCGGGATAAAAATCTGTCGCCGGGAAAAAAAATTCGCCGGAAAAAATGATGTTTGTAAAATTCCGACAACCACCATTTATGCCGCCGGTTACCAAAACAAAAGGAAAGAGAATGAAATAACCAAAAAAAAATGAGAATAATAAGAAATAAGAAAAAAGGATAAGAAAAAGAAGAAAGAATAAAAAAAGTATTAAAAATACATGTGGGGACGCGTGTAGCTCACCACTTGCCAAGAGTTCAGTTGCCAGCGTTAAGGGTGCAAATAATTTCATTTAAAATAAGTTTAGGGGATAATAGGATTCCCGCAAAGAAAAAGTGTGTAGTTGGAAATTCGGGTATAGGTCAGGGGATATTTATGCATTTTCCCTTTATTATATCTAAATTATTTATAAATACTCCCATTTTCCTTAATTTGCGTATCAAACACCGGAAAATGAATAAGATTACTACTTATTTTCCAAGAAAACATTTTCTTGGAAAATATTTCCACAGAAAACATTTTCCGTTATACCCAATACACCCTAAGGGAAGTATGTTTGGTGAAGAAGGCCTAATATATATATTTCCTGGGAGAAAAGAAGTGTCTTAGCCGGGATTAGAGGCCAACTGTGTTGAAATATTTATTACAACAGAAGCGGAAAGAAACAAAGAAAGAGGAAAAGAAAAATATTATTGCGAATCTGGTTGTTTGAAGAGTGTTGTTGATATGTACTGCTATATTTTGCTCAGCTATAAAATTTAAATTACAACTGACTTTTTCAAAAGTTCACTAATCCGCGCGAGAAATTCACTAAGCTGGTCGATTTATGCATAACTTGGTTCCGAAAAATAGGAATAAGCTAGCTTGAGCATTCTAAGAATTCAAGTTTTAAGATGCAACTTCTTTAGTACTAGTTATTATGTCATCACGTAGCAACTGCACTGATAAACACGAATAATACGTAATGTAGTCAATTTTCATAACAATGACATTCCACGAAGTGTATAATCATATCATGTGTATTTATCCAAAGCTTATACATGTTGGTGTATGGGTCAAAATCTATCTCAAAAATACTTAAGTCGGGATGGCATTAGCGAAACGTTCACAAGTCGCCACATGTTGAAGTGGCTTATGGAATAATGAAGGTCGTGGTCGAAGAGTCAGCAAGGACTAGGGTAGAGGAGTCGTCAAAGATCGAGATCGAGGTCGAATACCTTTGACAGAGTTATAACGGCTAGTTTCGAGATAGGACATTAAAAAAATATTCTAGTGGATATTCTCTACACTTGTACTATTAGGGTTTCTAGGAACATGTTTTCTGTAAATAGGAAGAGATATAATGATAGGGGACATGAGACATTCACTTTTAAAATACACTTTGACTTTATAGAGAGAATTTGGTCTTATTAAAGGCATACAAAAATAATATTTTCACTAAGATTCTTGTCCATATTTTTCTACTGGAGAATAACTCGAATATTCAAAGGTTTATCTATCATTCATTATTGTCAGAAAGAACATCCACTGATTTTATCCTATCTCGGGTGATTCATTTTGTTTATGTAAATACCATTTATTGCTATTCATCGCTATTTAATGCTACATTACTTATGTTGGGGTCCTTGAATATTGTCATTATTCTGCACCATCATATCTTTCGGAATAGATCTACGTGCTATTTATCATAATATCGGGAATTTCGTCTTAAGGATATTATTATTAATCAAGATTAACCCTTATTTGCATAAATCTAATTACTTGAACCAAAATATATATTTTTGGTCAAATAATTTGGCGCAGTCTGTGGGGATTTCTTAGTTAATTTTTAGTTTCCTTTAGATTTACAGCTAATGCAAGTCACCGACCTCACAAACCCCAAGATCTTCTTCTTTCTTTGTACCTACATGGCAGGTAACCAAGGAGAAAGGACAAAAGTAACAGGCGATTTCCCTAGCAACCTCATGAACGCTATCAACGATAGCTATGAAACAATAGGCGAGGACGTGACGCCCACCGCTTCCCCTACGCGCAAGAGGTCGCCCCCCTCCCCCCTATGGTAGCATAACAAAACTCAATGGAAAAAGGGCCTCCACATCCGAATAAGAAGGGATGCCTTTAGCTGTGAAAAAACTCCGAGAATCATGGTTGACTGATACGCTAGTAAGTGTGCTCAACAAGCCTGCTCCAGGCACGACCACAGAAACTGCAAGAGCTTGCATGATACAATGAGCAGACAAACAATGCAACCGATCGAACCCTTCGACAACAGGTATAACTAACAAATATTACTAACAGTGCAGGTGACAACACCCTCGCTGCCGTTCTAAGGAGGATGGAGGAAATGGAGACTGAAAACAAAACACTCTGAGACCAGATGAAAGAACACCAAGAACGAGTCGACAAGATACTGGGCGCTCCTAAGCTGTTGCCAAAAAGGGACGTCGGTAGTTACGTAGAGCAACCGTACAATGACGAAGCCAGGGGCATGCCATACCAAAGAACTTCAAAATATCGCCTTACCTCAGGATATACGACGGAATGACCGATCCCGAAGATCATGTGACCTATTACGTCACCACCGTGAAAGGAAACAACCTCGCCAAGGAGCAAGTATCCTCTATTTTGCTAAAAAGGTTTGGCAAAACCCTTACAGGAGGGGCATTAACATGGTACTCACAGCTACCAGCCCGCTCCATAAGAACTTTCAAGGAAATGGTTGATAAGTTCGTAACTGCACATGTTGGAGCCAAGTAGGCCGAAGTAAGAGAAAATGACATATTCGTTGTCAAGCAGTCCTTGGAAGAGAGACTGGGGGACTTCCTCGCT